GATGCATATGGAATAATATTACTAATTCAATAGCAGTTTATAAAATCAATATGTAGGCCTACAGAGCYTACAAATCATTCCTTTTTTTTTCTTAAAAATACTATGCATACTGTTTTTTGGCTTTTATAAACTAAATCTTCCATTGCGTTTGAAGGCCTTTTTTGGCATAGTTGTGCCTCTGCTCTGGTTAGGGGATGTGCAGTCTAAACAGAGAAAACTTGTTAACGTCTCAGACCAGACCAGGTAAGTTGTTAGTAGATGACTTTTGCTTGTAACCTTCTTTTTCAGGCTGCTCACTCCCACTTCAACATCATCCTCTCAGTCAGACTAGTGTGACTGTGCAGCTGCGTGGTGAACTGGATCAAGGAAGTAATCTCAGTTAAAAATAACCCTGCCAAAGAAAGAGTAACACCAAAGGAAATGGTTATTTTTAACTCTGAACATTTCCTTAGGAGGATGTCCTTATGAAGGCTAAAAAAAATACTTGTCAAAATATGACCATGTCTGGAAAACGTATGTGGGCTTTCTGTCTTGAAAACTTTCTTCAGATCTGACAGAGCGCACCACATGCAGACTRAACAGGTTAGATACAGTAATTTTAGATAATCTAATTATGTATTAGAGTGCTTGTGGTGCAGAGATGAGTGTTAGGAGAGAGAGGGGTAACAGGCCATTACAGAAGAGAGGGAGAAAAAGAACCATTAGCTCTGTGGGATTAGGACAAGCTGCAGTTGTGGCTATTGTTACTGTGGTCCAAAAGCTGATGTTGCTATCAACCTTACTGAAGTATATATTAAACATGTTATTAAGAATGCTTGTGTGTACATTCCCTCTATTCATTATGATTAGGTTTTCTTTGAAATAACAAATCTCTGCAGTCAGGAAAGTTATTAAAACCGAATGCACATCTAGTGAAGGTTTATCAAGCCTCCCTGCTGATATGAAATGTAGTGAATTAGTCAAAAGTATTTTTTATAGACATCTGTAGAGTTTTGTTAATTGGTAAAAATTAGTTGATGTGCTCAGTATTAAGAAGTACCTTCTTCCATATTGCTAAGATGATTTTTGTAGAAGAGACTATTTCTTTCCCGTTGTTAAAAGAAACCAGTCTAATTTAATCATCGACATCTCTTCTATGTCTTCCTTAATGGAAGGAGAGAAGTAGAAATGGACACCTTCAGGGTACAGTTTCTTCTCAGRTGATTTAAAATGAGGTGAGTCACTTTGTGAAGAAGATGAGCTCTSTTGCTTTATCAGACAGAGTAATAGTCTAAGCATGCACAGGGTACTTACTGTTCTAACTAGCTGTTAGAACAGTACATGAGGTGATGACCTCTGAATGTTTCACAGAATCACAGAATGGTTGAGGTTGGAAGGGACCTCTAGAGATCATCTAGTCCAACCTTCCTGCTCCAGCAGGGACACCCAGAGCACGGGGTACAGGGTGACGTCCAGGCGAGTATGGAAGGTCTGCAGAGAAAGAAACTCCACAACCTCCCTGGGCAGCCTGTTCCAGGGCTCTGGCACCCTCACAGGAAAGAAGTTCTTCCTCACCTGGAGATGGAACTKCCTGTGTTTCAACTTGTACCCATTACCYCTTGTCCTGTCACTGGCCACCCATGAGAAGAGTTTGGTCCCCTCCTCCCTACATTCTCCCCTCAGGTACTTATACACATTGATCAGATCTCCTCTTAATCATCCTTTCTCCTGGCTGAACAGGCCCAGCTTGCGTAGTCTTTCCTCATACAAGAGATGTTCCATTCCCTTAATCATCTTGGTTTCCCTCCGCTGGACTCTCTCTAGAAGCTCCACATCCCTCTTGTCCTGGGGAGCCCAGAACTGCACCAAATACTCCAGCTGTGACCTCATCAGAGCTGAGGAGAGAGGCAGGATCCCCTTCCTCAATATTTCATTTATAAGTCCACTGTGTGGGTTGTGACTTGAACATTTTGCCTAATATTTCTTTTACAACCCATGTTTATATTTTAGCATAGTTGTTGGGTAGTCTTGGTGTCTGTGTAAGTGTACAGTTCTTGCRTCCCATTGAGCTCTTGGATTCGATGTTTACTTCATGAATGGGAATTCATTAAGTTTGCGGAGCTGTTGGGAAAGCAGGTGTTTACATTTTTATTGTTTGTTTTTGCAGCTGCTCAAATTAATTGTATGTCTCCTTATTCTTGTATGAGAAAAGAGAAAAAGCTCACGTTATTAATTCTTTGTTTCAAGACGGATAATCCGAGTCTTTCTGGAGTTTTTTCTGTGATAGCTTCTGTGAGAATCTTGTTCTTTTCTACCAAAGTCTTATAGTGTAAGAGTTGTGCTAAGAAATTGGATGTTGCAAGCATGAAGAGTGCCACAGATGTATGAAATAGGGAATTGCTTTGTAATTTTATTCCTATTATATTCCATCCTATTTCTTATCTCACTGAACAAGCTGCTTGCTATTCACTGATGCCCAATGAGCAAATATTTTCATTGAACTTTCTGTACTGAGGCCCAGGTCTGGTTTTTGTTTTGCTTTTCCTGAATTGATAGCAGTTCATTCTGACCCTAGCAATGAGTTGTGCAGATTAATCCCTTATGTGCGCATTGCTTTGCATATATCAGTGTTTAACTTCATCTGTTCCTTCATGTCAAATTACTCCTACACATGGCACGGTATTGGAGTCCAGAATTTGATGACTGACCAAGGGGGAGAATTCTTGAATAATAAAAGCAGAATTTTAGTCCTRCTAAAGAGATGATAAAATGTTGAGGAAAGAATAACAAAAACTGCTAAAGAGCTGTCAGTTTTACTGCTGAAGATAAACTCTCGGGTTTGATTTGTTTTCTGTGTTGAAGGAAGCTCAGCACAGTTCTGATTTCTCCTCAGTCATATAATTCTCTCACTAAAATTCATATGAGATGTCTGCATTCATTCTGTCTCTTGACAGCTTCCCCCCACTATCTTCATATCTTCTGGGATAAGGAAACTTTTGGACTTGACTCAAAACTTATTGTCTTCAGACCTGTTCTTCCTTCTACATGGTTTTTTGAAGTTCCTTCACACGTGTTGAAGGTGCCTGGCTACACAGTATGCCGTACTTGTGCTGAGATTCAGTGGCTTGTGGTTGCCTAGAAAGTGTGTTGGCCTCCTTGTTGTCTACACAGATCAGAGCAGCTCTGTTACCATCAGTTCATCTAAACGGTCTCTGAGGGCCTTAGGGACCAATGGATCTGTGTTTAAAGTAGAACTCATCTATTATAACACAAAGACTGCCGTGAGAATCCAAGTTAGGTCTCAAGATGAAACATTGATGCTTTGTTTATGTTATCTTTCACCATTCATATCTGCCTTCAGCTCTGGTATTTTACTCCTGCATGACTACACAGACGTTATTTTTCCTACATCCCATATGTCTAAAATGTATATAAAGATGTTTAGCTCAAATGCCATCCATGTGAAACGCTCTATAATGTGGGTACAAGGTGCTGTTCGGTGCATCTTTAGCATGCTATGGTGTTCAATTACAATGCAGCAAATTTATTTTTATACAGTCTCCTTCATAGAAAATATGGAAAATTGCTTTGCAGTGAGTCATCTGTCAGCTAAAGAACTAAAAGTCTTCTAGTGATATTTAGGGAGGGAAAGTGGCTCAGAGCTGACAGAGTTCAAGACAGAAAAAGAATCAGAAATGAAACTGGGAGCCTGCAACTTGCAGAAGATAGAGGCAAGGACGGGTTGCGGGGAGCAGTGATGAAAAAGCCAAACAAGTTGAAAATGTCAGAGGTAGTTTGGGAGAATTTGCAGATTATTTGGAAGCCAAGAGTTGGGCTTCATGTGCTGGATTATTTCAGTGTTGGGCTAAGGAAGACTCTTTGCCTTAAGGAGAACAGGCTAAAGCCAGGTAAATGGGAGAATCAGGCTCAGGACATAAAGAGGAATTTAGAAATGTGCAGGCAGAGGTTGGGGAAAGGACAAATGGATTTGCTTTCTAGAGCAAGACATTAGAACAGCTCTGGGCTCTGTGATATTTGAATGGGTGAGGATTTTGTTAGACCATAAAAGAGAGAATTTCAGTTAATTGGACAGGAAATTATTATAGGCATAGATAAGGATTTCAGCAGCAGTGCAGCTGAAGTGAAGATGGATTTTGGCAGTCTTCCCTTGCTGGTGACAGGAAGCCCTGCACGGAGAAGTGCCTGTGTGGGGGAGAGGAAGCTGGTTCAGGGTCAGGCATGACTGAAGAATTTGCTTCTGCATACAGTGAATATAGATAAAGAAGCCCAAAATCTGACTCAGAAACTCAAGAGACTCAGAAACTAAAAGAGTTAACTGGTAAGGGAACTGTAAAGTAGCACGGGAACAGCAGAGCTAAGTCAGGCAGTTAGGAAGATCAGAGATTACTCGCCAAGGGTGATGATGCCAGCGATGCCCCATAGAGTTGATGTCTAAAGCTGAGCTAGCAGCAGGATGTCCCAGAGGAAGATGGTGTTTGCAAAGGGGAGAGGAGACAAATCAGGAACAGATGCCTGGTGTTTTTAAGGCACACTGCTGTTGTGGAAATACRTGCCAGGGTTTTACTGTAAATTATATGGTGCTTTCTTGTGTGCTTGGTTGAGTCTAGCACCTGGTATTGTGGGCCTTTTGGGAGGCCTCCCTTATCCTGCTCTCTCCGCCTGGRTAGCTCTGCCCGTGCTTTTTGCCCTGGGAATTCTTTTGACCTCACTCTGTGCTGTGCTGGTGTGTATATTAAGAAGTTAAACATGATGTGAAGTAACTAGCTCATAGAAAAATACCGTCTTCATTAAGAGCGGGAGGGAAAAGAGGTTGTCTGCTTGGTGCTCTCAGAAGAATTTGCCTTGACACTCCAGTACTGAAAGGCATTTTAAGTATAGAAGTTTAGAGGCATGCAGACATCCAAGAATTTGAAGGGAGTAATATTTCATTGTATGCAGCTCCCAAATGCTTATTACAGATCTTCTTCTTTACAACTATTGTATCTCTTTTGAATCTGCAGAGGAGGAATATCAAGGACAAACCAAGAGAAAGCGCGTTCGAAGGAAGAAACAAAAAAGCAGTTTGAAAAACCCTAATGATTTACATGGAGAACAAACAGAATCTGGAATTCAAAAGACTCCTTTGCAAGATAATTTACAGCGGCAGCAGATAGACAACCCCAAAATGAGCAAAAACAAAAAGAGGAAAATGAAAAAAAAGCGACAAAAGGAAAAAATGAGAGCAGCTGGCTTGCTAACAAAAACTACCGGTGTAGATTTTACATACCAGCCTGATAAAACCAGCACTGAAGAAGGAGCAGACCTTAAGGACATAGATGAAAAGACACATAGCATTCTAGACTTCTTACAGGCAACACAACAAATTTATTTTGCTGACAGTATGTACCACTCTCTCCTTTCTTTTCATGAGCAGGACAGCTTTGAAAAAAGTATATATATTCTCATTATTTCTTTATAATAGGCCAGATTTATTCGGGAAGTATCTATTGAACTTGGCATGGAAATAGAGGTTTAGCAATAGTTCTGTCCTTAGCTCTTTAAATGAATATGTATCAGCATAAAAAAACATGATCCTAATATCATTGTTTATCTTCTTTGAAAATATAGATAATATTGCTTTCTCATTTTTAAAACATTCCAGTGCACTTTGGGTAAATATAGTGCTTAAAGTGCATTTGCTTGCCCTGCAAGCAAACATCCAGAAGGATTATTTGATTTCAAAAAACAAATAATCAGGAGGGCAAAAGTAGTTCTAAACTTCTGTCCATTTCCATTCATTTCTATTGAAATCCCTTTCAAAGATAATGATATTTTAATGATAAGTATASTCATTATCTGTACATATACAACATTATGTTGGTATCATCTAGAATTAAGTACATTTTCTTAAGGGCAAACTCGTGTTTTCTTTAATTGCTCAGAACACAGCCTTAAAATTATAATTATAATGTGAAAACAGGGGGAAAAAACAGTGAAGACCTTTCAGAACACATGGTCTTGACTGCCTTTGTGGAGCTGAAAGGAAAATATTAAATAACTTACCTACTTGTTCATCTTAATTCAAAACTGTCACTCCTTGTCTTAGATTGTCTAAAATTTATCTTTAGACTACCTCACAACTTTAAGAAATCTATTAAGGTAACATCAGGCTTTTCATGTTAATTTTTCTCAAGATTTATAGATAAAATTGTCTTTACTTACTGTTAAAATATTCTGCTATGTCAGGTTTTCCCACTAAGCCTAGCACCCAGGAGTCAGCTTCCTTTAAGGGCTCAAGTCTTTTCATCGCCAAAAATAAAAAATGTTGCTATTTCAGTGTACGTCAAAGTAAGTGGAAACTAAATGACTTGCATTTGTGTTAGTGGAATTCCAGAGTAACTGAGTAAAGTTGTCGATGTGGTCAAGAGAGTCCTGCTGTTAACGCGCGAGGCGGCAGCGGCCGGTGCCTGCAGACCTGTTCAGCCACCACCTCCCGCAGGCCTGGTTAAGGTGAAGGTTTAGCAGTGGTTGACAGACTGACAAACGCTGCTGTCAAACCCGCAGCTCAAGTTAAGCTAATGAGGCCCTTGCGATCCACAGAGATACGCTGTCTGGTGAAAGCAAATGCAGCTGCAGATGAGATGTCACAGCCATAAATCAGAGTGTGACTAACTGGCTTCTTAGGCGGATCCTACTCCACATGCAAAGTTCTGCTCTTTGCCTTGCCTAGGCGAGTGATTTGAGCACTCCCCACTTATTAGATAGAATCGGAAGCCCTTGTTTTAATAACATTTGCAAATAGTCACCCTGAATATTGTGCTTATGTACATCGTGTACATATATAAGAAAGCTGAATTGGAAATAATCCATTCTTACTATTTGATTTGTTAATAAAAAGCAGAAAAATGTAACTTTAAAGGTAGTCTGGTTAACGGGACAGATATTGTTATTAGAAAGGAAGAATAAATCTGTACGTTAGCACAGTAATAACACTACTGTGTCCTTTCCTGCTGTATTGCATATTCAAATACACAGTTCTAAAAACATAAAAAGTGCAACAGCAAGATAATTAACTGCCTCAGAAATGCTTTGTGTTATTTCCCTATAGTTATTCCCTGTCTCCATATGTGTATGCATTTTTATAATAAATAGTACATAGGAGACAAAGATAGAGCGCTGAGGCTGTGGTACGAATTCTTCATCACACCTTATTCATGCCCTAATCTTAAAGCCTTAGATCTCTTACTGTCTTGCTATTGCATTCCTTTCTTTATGAGTCCAGTTGCCCCTTATACTTTCTGTATTTAGTACATTTCCCCACTTTTTTTTTTTAAATATCTTGCAGAAAATGAGAAGAATAGACTGCCTTTTAGTATGTGGTGTTTGGTTATAAGTTGTAGTTTAAAAAAAGAAAAAAGATACTGTCTTTTAAAGTAAATATCAATAGGAAAATTCCACATGCCCATTCAGTATTTCTAATCCAGCCTTCCAATTGTTTGTCCAGATAAATCGGAATGCACAGATCCAGCTGTAAATTCAGCAGMTGCCCAAGAGCTTTTACGATATCTTGAATCTCGCAGGATGGCTTCCTCGGACGTGACTCTCCTACACCAACTGAAATCCCTTGTATTGCTACAGGATGTTGCAAGATTGAGGAATGCTTTGCAGGAATTCCAGGAACATTCCCTGATGCCTCCTGGTACGTACCATTCACTCGTATTCTTTCACTGATGTTCTTTTCTGGGTTGATTAAAATTCAGATTTGTCACACTTTTTTGTATAAGGGAGTGGGAAGCTGTCAATAGYTACGTGGTAGTGAAAGCATGATTATACAAAATTTGAACGTATGTTTCTCTATAGGAAACAGTCATTTGTTGCCTTTTTTCTTCTTACCAATGGAGAAACTTTTCATACTCTTCAGCAGCTGCAAAGTACATGATCAGTGAGATTCTTAAAACACAATGTTTCTTCAAATCATAATGAATTTAAGATTCAAACAAGTTTAATTTTCCCTTTTTCTCTAGAAATTTCTCTAGAACTCTAGATTATTTTTAAATGTTAATCACTGCAATGAAGCTGTAAGTTTTTGAGTAAGTTTTCCACTTACTCGGTTTAGGTTTACTTTTAAATGCATAAGCATCAATAAATCCCATTATTTCATTCTTATTTAGTCACCCACTTGGGTTCTTTAAAACCTAAACTTCACATGCTAATATTTAATTGCAGTTTTCTTCAACTATAAATGCTAGTTTAAAATTGCTTATTAAAAAAAAAAAAAAGAAAAAACATTACTGAATTTAAAGAACAAAATAATAACMATGTCATTTGTGAAAAGAGAAATCATTCTGTTACTAGCTTCTTTGTGACCCAATAATTTTAATAGAATTCCTTCTTGTACTGTTACTTGTTTCTCAAATGTGGGCAGGATCAGTATGGGTTCCATAGAAGGTATATTTTTTTTTCTCTCAGCAGTCATCATTTAAAACATCATTATTGTTTGTCGKTAGTTCATTTGTTAGCATCAGCCAAATCTACATAACGTACTAAATATTCTTACTTCCCAGAGAATTCAATTAGATTTGAGAGGCCAGAAAGAGAATCTCATCAATTTTATGTAGTTTTCTAAGTCTTTTGTAAAGTAATAACTCACATTATCCAAAAGCACTGAATACAGCAGAAATTCTGTAGGTTTTGCAGCCTTTGGATAAGCTGCTGTGTTTACTTCTCTTTAGTGGAAATAACAAGTTGAAGAGGGAAAAGAAAATTAGAAGCAAATTAGAAACAAATCCATGCAAATAGCCAGATTTGCTAATATGTCACTTCARAAAAAGCAGAAAAGAGCTTTATGAGTGATTTTTTTTTTTAATTAAAATTCATTTGATGCTGCTGCTGAAACAGAAACAGCCTGAAATGGTTTACTCTTCCAGTTGATTTTTCTGCTGGTGACTTTTATTTTTGATTTTTGTTCTGAAGGCTCAATTCTAATCTCAAACCTGCTGTAATTGAGTTGATAGGATGCCCATGAGGCACAACGTAAGTAAGAGTTACGAAGCAGTTGCCAAGAAAGTTGTAAGAAGTTCGGTGGTAGAGTTTACAAAAAAAAAAAAACACAGAAAGAGGAAATTGGTAAGGAGAAAGATGCAGAAAATTGTCCTTCTTATAAATAAATTTATTTATTTATATCTCCTTCATATGGAGAGTCTATTTTGCAGACCACAACAAGTAGCACAGTTACTGCATATCAGCATGTCAGCAGGCCGGATGCCCAGGGACCCTAATATGATACAAATTAACAGTTGTTTTGAATGAGATTTCAAAGAGAATGAAAGAGGAAAGCTCTGTTAGAACAACATTATGGAACCACATTAAATGTCATGTCATTAAAAATAAGAGTAATTAGATAATCTGTGGATTAAGGCATTTGGGGTTTTTTTTTGCAGTTGCCTGTATGTGACAGCACAGAAAGAKTTGCTCTTCACAGGGGCTTCCAGGTGCTACTATAATATTAATAGTAATGGCTGAAATCACTCTCTAGACAGAAAAGAGAATGGAGGAGATCACAGACTTTTAGCCTTATCCATGTGGCTGTGTCATTTCAATCTTCTCTTTTCTGAATCATTGAATAATATATTAGGACMTTTCACAGTCTAGGACCAACAGTGGATCTCCTGCAAACGGCTGGCCTGCAAAACATGTGCCCATTTTTCTAGGAATTATTAATATGTATCAATCTCCAGTGTCTGTTTTGTTTTACTGAAATGCTTCTATCAAAAGGAAACAACTGTTTACACAACTGCTTTTCTTTAATGTTCAAAAATGTCTTAGAGACATTTCAGGAATAATTTGTTTTCTTCATTGCAGATCATATCAAGATAGTCTCCTCTCTGTTTCACTACTGGATTACAGATATCCTTCCTGTGCAGAACAGGAAATAAATGGCCTGTGTCCATATGTGCGAGGTTAAATGTAAAATACGAACTCTTACCCAAGTAGCAATTGCTCAGGAAGAGCAGAGTCGGTTTGCATCCTACACACACAGGTAAATTAATTGTTTTTCAGTGTTACTAACTACAGAAAACAATAAATGGGATAAAACCACATGGGATTTTTGTGCATGGTTGGTCAAGAACATTCATATGTTGCATGGCCTGAGTCTGTAGTTGGCCAGTATGTTTATTTCCCTCTAGGGTAAAGGCAGTAGCTGGACTCGTTAATATATCACAAAAGTATTTCAAGAAGTTTATTTAATGTATATGTTTATATGTGAGTGGTTTCTTTCTTGAAGTTTTATTTCTTGACTTTTCTTGTTTATCTTGTATACATTTTTGTTTGTGAACAGATATTTTTAATATTTAAACTGAAGCAAAGATACATCTGAGGATTGTATTTTTGCTCAATAAACTGCTAAATTATGGAAATAGATAAATTTCTGGGTCATGCAGATACTTTTTGGAATGGTAAAGGAATTTGGATTCCATGTTCAATAGTTTCCATTGCACTGTACAATTTAATTCCCCAACTGCATGTTGGCATTTTTATAAGTGGGCTGATTCTGACATTGTAGATCTAGTGGACTTCACTGACTGCAGAATTATGAGACCAAGTTCTCTCACGATCCTTCTGTGCCTGAATTTATTCATTTATAAGTGATACAATAAATAATAGCCATGGTCATAACATGTTCGGAAGTTTTTTAAGAAAAAGGACACAGTGAGGGAGGTGTTCTTCTCTGAGCTGAGTCATTCATCAGGTAGGTGATGCAGAACAAGCCACTTCTTATGCTGCTGTCTTAGTGTCCTCCCTAGTACAATAAGAGCAATATATTTATCACTTCTAGCATGTGCTTGCAAAGATGCTATGGCTAAGTACCATCTAAGTAGTGCAAGCTATTTGCTTATTTTAATCTATTTTTTATTACATTTCATAATACTATTTCTTGCAAGGCATTGTTTACAGTGATGCTCAAGTACAGATAATAGAAATACAGCCATGCATCTTTCTCATCAAGCTGAAGAAATTAGAAAGTGTCCAGCACATGATAGGGTTTGGGAAGAATGGGCTGATGCCTGGGGGAGCTGCATCCAGCCCTGGAGAACTTCAGTTGGGTTTGTATCTGATGGGAAAATTACTGAAACCAGCCTCTGTGAGGAGGCAGCTGACAGTGTGTCCCTTGTTTTAATGTCCACGAGTTGCTGGCGTTTAGGCACCCAGCTGTAGCTGTGGCTTTTCAGTGAGGCCCTGTCAGTCCTGTGTCTGTAGGATGGAGAAAACGCTGCTGCAGCGTGTGAGGCACCGAGACACTGCTGACAGACCCTGYGGGAATTAATCACTTCAGCCACAGATTAGGGTGTGAAAGTTGTGCAGTAAATGAGGCTCAGCAACCACACAGAAAGAATATGTAGCAGCTCATTAGGTAAGCACCATCCATCCTGTGCCGTGAATGTGAAAAATAAATTAGATCGTGTAATTAAAGACATTAGCATAAAATATAGGAACAAAACAGGCAAAATTAAGATGGTACAAACAACTGCAGTTCCTTATTCTTGAGTCATTTTGTTAGGGGTCGTTGTAAAGCTGCAGACTGCAGGAGCCAGGGATGTCTCCTCAGCTGCTGGAGCCCAGCCCAGTGCGTCTGGAGACCTGGAGATCCCTCTGCCCCAGGTGAACGGACACAGCTGCTGCTTTCCTGCCTGCAGCTGCAGCAGGAATAGGGCTGAACGTGTGCCCCAGAGAGGCACACACAGAGAGGACACTTGTCAAGGCCAGCGACACCGCACGCTGCCTTTAACAATGTTCACACATAGCACTACCAGAACCAACACAAAACATAAGTCTAGATCCCATCCTTCCTCTCCAGCTGATTTGGATTGAAGTTTGCTAGTGAAAACACACATGCCCTTCTCTGCAGGCCCACGAGCGTGCCTACCTTTGCAGATCCCTCTGATAGCAGAGCTCTCAGCCTGTGTAATGCCCACACTTAATGCACAGACCTTCAGTCTCTACCCTTAGGAAGTTGGGYGGTCCCAAAGTCTCTCCTGAAGTATCCATAAACTTCATCTGGTTTCCTTCCTTATCAATTACAAAATCCACATTAACTGTCTCCAAGGCTATGCCTGTAGCTTCTTAATGACTCACTACTTAGTGATGGGCTCCAGCTCGCTTGTCAGGTTTGTGTTTCTGTGGGGTTTTTATTGCTTTCTCTGTTACTTAGGGTTCACTTTGCCCTGAGAAATCCTTGATCTGATAACCTTAAAGAAGCAGATGCTCTCCCATTTCAAATACCTTACAGATTGGCTACGTAACTTTAGTAATGCCATTCCTATATAAACTCGAGCATGTAGTTATTGCAGCTCAAGCAATAACATAATAATTATCTTTATTTTTAGCAATTATGTACATTGAGCAAAGGGGCACTATTAGCSAAGACTACTAGGAAAGGTAACAGAATCCACAAGGCCACGCTCAGTTCCTATCCATAGCGGGCAGCAGTGGAAGAACTGGTCTGTGCTGTTGGTAGTACATACAAGTCCCTGTGCACACTCAGATTGGATGAGCACTTCCATTGTGTTATTTCCTCCCCATTTATTACCTTCCTTAATTAAYGGTGTATACTCCTAAGGGATGTGGGTCACTCGTGGACTGGAAGAAGTCAACATTTCTAATAGAAATAGATTATTCATGGTGTGGAAAGCCATTTTGTTCTTCTGAAGTGAGAAATTTTGTATTAATGGTGTAAAACAAAATGCAAGACTGAAAAAACCCACTGATATTTAGGCCAACCCCAGGCTGGAGCTAAGTAGGTTTTGTAGTTAATTGCTTCAGCCCCAGATTGCACCTGAGGGGGCTGCACTGCATGTTTGTGCAGGTAATTTAGCTTCCTTATTAACTGCTTTATCCTCTTCTTACATCTAAGTATTTTGTGTTGAATAGGATAATTATAATGCCTTTTACAAATTTTATTATATGTTTTCTTTAGATAAAAAGTGTATATTTTTGAATTGCTGTGTATATGTTGGACTAAGCCATGGAGGGAAAATGCACTCATTAAATATCATTAAAGAAAAAACAGAAATGTACAAATTCTGCAAGTTTTCTACTTCTAAAGATCTAGGAGAAGGCCGTATATTATATGTTTTGCTTGACTATAGTTTGGAGTGAGCCCTCCATACTCAGTCAAGGTCATACATGTGGCTTAATACTGACATTCTGATTTGAATCATTATCTTTGTAGAATTAATAATCTATAGKTATTTTGATGAACTGTATACATTAGTAACATGTATGAACAAGCTATATTTGTGTTTTAAATTATTACTACAGTGCAGTATCCTATTTTCAGATACATAATGCAAAAAAGTCTTTTATGATACTGAAGAGATCTTCACAGAAATAGAGAAAGAATGAATCTAAGGTTCAATTTCCTTTTTTCCTTAGCATCAAATATAGGTTTATTTTCTTCACCTTTAAGATCTTTGCCGGTTTYCTCAGTCCACAATGCACAGATAATGATTCTCCTGTCCCCTCAGTTTCTAGGATTAGGTTGTATTATCCATATACTCATTGTTCATAGTATCACAGAATCACAGAATGCTTAAGGTTGGAAGGGACCTCAGAGGTCATCGAGTCCAACCCCCCTGCTCACACAGGGTCACCTAGAGCACGTGGCACAGGGCTGCGTCCAAGCGGGTTTGGAAGATCTCCAAAGAAGGAGACTCCACAGCCTCCCCGCGCAGCCTGTTCCAGGGCTCTGTCACTTTCACTGTTAAGAAATGTTTCCTTAAGTTCCTGTGGAACTTTTGATGCCTCAGCTTGTGGCTGTTTCCTGTAGTTCTGTCAGTGGCCTCCACTGAAAAGAGGCTGGTCCCATCCTCCTCCCTCCCTCCCTTGAGGTATTTATACACGCTCATCAGGTCCCCCTCAGCCTTCTCCAGGCTGAACGGACCCTTCTCTCTCAGCCTTTCCTCATAGGGCAGTCATTCCAGGAATATGGCCCCTGGGAYGTTCAGAGTAATGCATTCACACTTTTATTTTTTGTTCCTAAAGCCCTCAGTAGATTTCTGCAAAACWGCCTTTCTGTCTTTCACCTTTCTTTGCCTTGATGCTGCCCAAGAGCTGAGCAACAGCTAGGTCAGTCATGTGCTAAGACAACTGCCTGCTCTGCTCATTCATGTTGCCTGTATGTGCCTGTACATACGTGTACCTGTCTGTTCCCACATCGTTCTGCCTAATTTCTCAGCTGTTTTCTCCTCCTCAGGCCCGCAGCACCTTGGCGCAGGGATTGACTTGCTGTAGTGAGTTTATACAGCACCCAGCACAGTGGGTTTCTAAAACATCTGAGGGGCAGGTGTGCTATGGTTATGTAACAGACTCAATTATGATCAAGAATATGCGAGAATATTTTGTAAGCAGGGTAGCTGGTACTTAGGAACAGAGGGGTAGTTTTGCATTGCTGAAATGCCATGTCTGCTAACAGAGAGACCAGGGTTTCCCTAGTCTAGTCCCCCTAGGTGCTGGGGGCAGCATCTGTCTGCAGCTTGCTGAGACTTGGAGAGCTTGGAGACTTGTGAGGCAGGATTCATTCCGCCTAACTTCAGACAGAGTTTTCATCTGAGCTGCTTGCCCTAAGAACTTCTATAATCATTGGGAGGAAATAGATAGTGGTAAAACCCAATATAACTGATCACGTCTAAGCATATATTTTAGAGTGAGAAGAATAGTGCAATAGGAAATCCGATTTCTTTATGTTGGCTGTTAAGTGAGCACTGGCAAGTGGGTCAGCTGCAAACTGTCCACACTGCAGACATCTCAATCGTTTCGAAGAAAATTCATTCACTGCATTTGAGAAAAAGGCAGGAAGGTGCCTGTTGGCTCTACAAAACCATGTCCCTCAGCTGGTGCCTGCCTGGCACCGACGAGCTCCTTCATCTTAGACAGGGTCCTGGCCTCTCCTTGCTCCTCTTATGCTGGGAGCATTTCATGCTTTCCAGCATCCTTCRTGTTGGGAAGTCAGTGCCTGGGTCTGCCAAAAGAGAAGAGTAA